TCATCGTTGTTTGGCGAGTCCGTGCTGGATTCGAACCTGCCACCTTAGGTGTATGTGGCTGGCGCCTTAGCCGCTTGAGCCACAGGCGCCAAGCCCGATTTTTTAATTTTTAAAATCAAAAAAGGGGAAGTGTTTATTTTTTTTTTTTGTCAACTGGACACATAAACTGCTTCATTAATCCTTCTGTATAAGATCCTAAAGGGCAGACTTGGTATTTATAGATTAGCTAGTTCAGTCATTTCTCTTTGGCTTATTAGGTGCTTAAAAAAAGGTTTTTTTTCAATATTATTGTTTTTTAAATTTAAGCAGTATAAATAGTTCAGAAGATAGTATACAAAAAGTACCCATTTTTTATTACTCCCTCATACCTATCTAATCATGTGTGTGTGTGTGTGTGTGTGTATGTCTCCTTTTACACAGATAGGAACTTATCAAACTCTTTGTTCTTTCACTACTTTCTTTAAATGATGTTTGAAATATCTGAAAGATCATTCCCAATCTCTCTGTGTGTATATATGGGTATCATTATTTTTACTGGTACATTATATGTATGTACCTTTCGTACGTAAATGCTGGACATTTAGGTTATTTCTAGTTTTTTGCTATTACAAATTTTGTTGCCTTTAGTATCTTTGAATATAGCTCTTTGTAAACCTATGTGTATATATCTGTATTAAATCTCTAGAATAGATTGTACATTTTTAATTTTGATAGCTATCTCAGTTTTTCCCTTTATTAAAGTGTGCCAACAAAGTCTACCATGTTATACAATTAAAATATAGGATTGGTTTTTTTCTCATAAGAATTGCAAAAAAATTCTATTGCTAAAAGATTTTCAGAGTTATTAAGCTTTTAGAGCTGTGGTTCTCAACCTTCCTAATGCCACAACCCTTTAAATAGTTCCTCATGTTGTGGTGACCTCCAACCATAAAATTATTTTCGTTGCTACTTTAAAGTAGCATAATAATTTTATGAAAATAATTTTATGGTTGGGGGTCACCACAACATGAGGAACTGTATTAAAAGGACGCAGCATTAGGAAGGTTGAGAACTACTATTGTAGAGTATTAGTTTCAGAGGACATTTTGTATTGAAATTTAAGTACAAATAAATATTGTTGAATTTTAAAATATCCTATTAAGTTGTTCTTGCAAGTACATTATATAAAGTTCTCTACTTCAGCACAGTGGCTTATGCCTATCTATAATCCTAGTGCTATGGAAAGCCAAGGCAGGAGGATCACTTGAGGTCAGGAATTTGAGACTATCCTAAGCAAGAGCAAAATCCTGTCTCTATTAAAAATAAAAAGATTAATCAGGCGTGGTGGTATAAGACTGTAGTCCCAGCTACTGAGGAGGCTGAGGCAGGATGATTGCTTAAGCCCAGGTGTTTGAGGTTGTTGTGAACTAGGCTGAGTCATTGCACTCTAGTCCGGGAGCCACAGCAAGACCATCTTAAAGGGAAAAAAAAAAAAACCTTCTCTACCTCATTTCAGTTGACACCTTATAGCCCCTTTTCACTGATTTTTATTTTTACCATTGAAACTGTTTTAATGTTACAACTCCAAAATGCAATAATCTTCACCTTTTATAAATTTATAAAAGACCAGATTTTAAAAATCTATTTTAATTATTCCTTCATACTTAATTTTTATTTATTTTTTATTATTTCTTTGAAACATAATAAAGAGTTTTACTTTTACTTTGTCACCTTTGGTAGAGTGGCGTTATAGCTCACAGCAACCTCAAACTCTTGGGCTCAAAAGATTCTCTTGCCTCAGCCTCCCAAGTACTGGGACTACAGGCGCCGACCACAATGCCCGACTATTTTTAGAAATGAGGTCTCTCTCTGGCTTAACCTGTGAGCTCAGGCAATCCACCCACCTCGTCCTCAGAGAGTGCTAGGATTATAGGTGTAAGCCACCACGCTTGGCCCCATACTTAACTTTAAAAATAAAGGAAAAGACAATTAAATTCTCTTTATCCTAGTTGTTCTGTGTTCCTTATTTTCTAACTCTAGAGTGTATGCTGCAATTCAAATGCTATATAAGAAAGAATAAAATAGGGCTCCGAGCCTGTGGCTCAAGTGGCTAAGGCGCCAGCCACATACACCTAAGGTGGCGGGTTCGAATCCAGCCCGAGCCCGCCAAACAAAAATGACAGGTGCAACCAAAAAATAGCCAGGCGTTGTGGTGGGCGCCTGTGGTCCCAGCTACTTGGGAGCCTGAGGCAAGAGACTGGCTTGAGCCCAGGAGTTGGAGGTTGCTGTGAGCTGTGATGCCATGGCACTCTACCCAGGGGACAGATTGAGACTCTGTCTCAAAAGAAAGAAAAAATAAAATAGTAACTTCTGCTTTGATATACAATTTCCAGAATCTCCCAGAATTGGGAAACTGGGCAATAAGGCGTTTGTAAATCTTCTGTTTTGTCTATAGGTTCATTCTGTGCCTTTTGAATGAGAAGAATTCTCCAAGCTTCAAGGTCATATGGATTCTCTTTTAATTTTTTTTCAGGTTTCTTCACCTTCTCTTGTTTTATCTTGTTTTGTTTTTTTAGGTGCTGAAGTGGAATTTTACTACCCCACGGGATGAATATATTGAGCAACTAAAGACTCAGATGTCTAGCTGTGTGGCTAAATGGTTGCAAGATGAGATGTTTCACTCAGACTTTCAGCATCATAACAAAGCTCTGGCCATCATGGTTGATGTAAGTCTGCAGTAAATAAGCACACATTTCAGACGTGTGAAAATACTCAGAAGCCCAGTGAAATAATCAGAAGTTTGTTTGACTTGGAAAGGAAGCAAAATATACCATGTTCTCTGTTTTTAGAGATGTGTTATTATTTGATAGAATAAATTACTCTTTTAGGCCTTAACTAGAAGCTTAAAAATTCTATCATTTTATTTTGGGGCTCTGGTAAAATTTTAGGATGTATTGGATTAGTAGAACTTAAGTTTTACTAAGTTATATAGTCTTATTTGTGAGATTTTTGTCTTGTTTTATTTTAAGCACTTGGAGAGTGAAAAAGAAGGTGTCATTGGCTGCCTGGATCTTATCTTAAAGTGGCTTACTCTGCGGTTTTTTGACACCAATACAAGTGTCCTAATGAAAGCACTAGAATATTTAAAATTGCTTTTTACCCTGCTAAGTGAAGAAGAGTATCATCTTACAGAGAATGAAGCATCTTCCTTCATCCCATATCTTATTCTCAAGGTAATGTGTTATTCTCTCTCAGAGTTCCCAGCTGACCTCAGTTCCTATACTTTTATTCCCTTTTTGATTATTGTATGATGATACCTTCTACCAGTCACCTCTATGCACCCATTTTTTCAAGATATACATGGGGTGAACCGTTGCTACTCAGAAAATGCCTTACTTAATCATTATTTTCCTGTTGACTAGGTTGGAGAACCAAAAGATGTCATTCGTAAAGATGTTCGTGCCATCCTGAACCGGATGTGCCTTGTCTACCCAGCCAGCAAGATGTTCCCATTCATCATGGAAGGAACCAAATCCAAAAACTCTAAGCAGAGAGCAGGTAAAGCAATTTAAATTGAGACCTGACTCTCTCCATGACACTTAGGAAAAAATTAGGCCAGGCACAGTGGCACATGCTTGTGATTCTAGCATCCTGGAAGGCCAAGGCAGGAAGATTGTTTGAGGTCAGGAGTTTAAGACCAGCCTGAAAAAGAGCAAGACTCTGTCTCTACTAATAACAGAAAAATTAGCCAGGCATTGTGGCAGGTGCCTATAGTCCCAGTTACTCAGGAGGCTGAGGCAGGAGGATCACTTGAACCCAAGAATGTGAGGTTGCTATAAATTAGGCTGATGCCACTGCACTCTTACCTGGGGAAACAGAGCAAAAATCTTGCTTAGAAAAAGAAAATAGTTTGTAAATGAACAAAGAAATTTCTTTAGTGTCTATATAGGTAATTCCAATCTTCTGATTCAGACTGTGAGAGTGATGAGTTGCACACTGGTGGAGCCATGGTATCAGGTGATACAGGCACCTCTCAGTACCACCCTGATGACAAAATCAAGTGCACAGGGGCCATCTGACTCACAGGAATTTCTTCCTTTCAGGAGCACTTGCCAAAATACCATTGTCTCATTGGTAAAAGGCAGTAAATAAAAAAAAAAAAATTCTATTAAGAGGCTGAGGCAAGAGAATCTCTTAAGCCCAAGAGTTAGAGGTTGCTGTGAGCTGTAATGCCACTGCACTCTACTGAGGACGACATAGACTCTGTCTCAAAAAAAAAAAAAAAAAA